ATATTATTATATATATATTTTTTTTTTCTTGCTTAACAAGGACATTTTTCGTTGCTTGCTTTTTCTCAGTAAGATGTTCACGTTTTTAAAGAGTGTATATGGTTAATAAAAGCAAGAGCAAAAAGTGTCATGTTGTCCATAGAATCCATTCAGATTGCTTTCTGTTTTCTAGTGAAAGAAAGAAAATGGAGTGACTGGGCAATAAAATAACCTTTTTACAACTATATTCCCGTAAACTATGCCTAACGAATACAAACCGTTTTGTAATGTTAAATGGCAATCTTAAATGATTGCATGATCTTGCTGCACTAATTGCAGTTTTCAACATCAATAATGAATCCTGGTTCTTCTGTGGGCAGCTAGCTGTAAAGCTGGCCATACTCCTAAAGATTTTCTGCTGATTTTCTATGGTCAGATGAAAAAAGCGCAACAGATTCCTCCCATCTACGCTAAACTGTGTGGATGGAGGAATCGCCCGTTAGGCCAAGTTTCAGTATCTTGCTAGTCGGCCCCGCTGGCTGTCAAAATACCTGAACAATCTGATGGGGTTGCAGGCAATGTTCAGGTGTTTTGAGAGCCAGCGGGTCCGACTAGCAAGATACTGAAACTTGGCCCAGCGTAGATGGGGGAATCTGTTGCACTTTCTACATCTGACCATAGAAAATCTGCAGCTAACTATAGGTGTATGGCCAGCTTTAGAGTTTTCTTTCAAGGAGCATCCACAATGGGAATCTATACCATAGCGGAGTATGACTTTAGGTATATAACGGTCTTATAGTTTGGCCTATGTAATTGTTTCTACAGCTAGAATATGTTTAAAGTGGCGAAATACTCTTATTTTGTTTCATTATAGCGCAAGCTTCTTTGAATTTACCCAATTTTAAAGCACAGTATTTAATTGTAAGTGAAATGTCTCTACAGCTAGACTATTTTAGAGTGGCTTTACATTCTGATGTTCATAACTTTTGGGGCAAGCTTTCTTTAAATGTATCTAATTTTAAAGTGCAGTATTTAAATACTAATAGCCTATAGCTGTTTAATTGAAAAATCCACTTTCCCACAGTACCTGGACATGTCCCATTCAGCTCACTGAAAGGCACACCATTTGAAGACAAGATTTTTTTGAACTGGAAGGAACCTATGGAGCCAAATGGCATTATCACTCAATATGAGGTACCACTGATCACATCTGCTGGAATGTCTTTGTTAAAATAATGGCTGTAATTAATCATGTTGGATTATACAGATTGTTGTTTGAAAGTTCCTAGCAGCTTGAGGTTATTGGACCGTCATGAAGGGCACGGTAGTGATGAGAATAGTGAAACCCATGGACAGGTGCGGAACAGTCTGTGCTGGTCACATTGCGGATTGTTGTAATAAATTACTAAACACAAGGTTCATTAGCACAAAACACAAATCTGCAGACTTGTTTTGCTGTTTTTGCTTAAAGAACCTGTAAATTGTTTTTGCGACATTTGTAAATGTAATATGGTGTCATGGGCAAATGCCATCTAGTAATTTTTTTTTTAATCTCAACAGGTGAAGTACAACAGTATACGGTCTTTTGATCCTGCAGTGCCTGTAGCAGGACCTCCTCAAACAGTTACTAAACTTTGGAATAGTACACACCATGTTTTCTCTCAACTTTATCCAGGCACTACTTACCAGTTCCTTATAAGAGCTAGTACTATGAAAGGGTTTGGTCCTGCAACAGTCATCAATGTTACCACCAACATATCAGGTAATTTAGCTAATGTGCACACCAGCTATGGTTAAAAAATTGATTTGTGTATCACTCATGCAAAATCTACTTTTTGCAGTTTTTTTTTTAAGTGTAGCAAGCAAAGCCCCATTAATTTAAATGGGTGGGTGGAGTACCTTGATGAGTAGGAAATCTGACACATCATTTTGACTGGGCTTTTACATCTATTAGGGGCTGTTCTGGGCCCCTTACTGTTTGGGGGAGAAAAACAACAAACAGGTTTGACATTTTCATCTTTTATATTTGATATTTTTTTATTACTTTGAGACCGTTTCCATAGTGCAGAATTTCTTTATATTCATTAAAAGGCTGAGGTATAAAAAGTGTTGGCAAAAAAAAAGTGTTGGTCATTGCAAGCAGCCATTTTTTTGCAAGTTTGGAAATGAAACAAGGTTTGTAAGAGCCCCTATTAAATTTGTTTACATTTCTTTTAGTGGCACCATTTTTAATATGCCTCATGTGTAACTGAGCACAGTGTCAACAAGTGCTAGAATACTGGACAAATCTCAAAAACTTCAGTTGCTTAGTGACGCGAGTTACTATATTTTTGTTATATTCTAATGCAAAAAAGCCAATGGGAACCAAAAAAAAACGTAATGTGGCAGAAAATAGCAAATGTTCTGGCAAATAACACACTCATTATAGCTTTGCAAACTGACCCTATTGTCTATTTTAATGAACTTTGCATGTCCACTGGATCATAGCAATTCTAGGTTGTTATTCTGTATGACGCATCTTTGTTCATGGTGCATATTAATAATAACATATTAGGAGTGTTGAGGGGACAAGAGTCTTCCTACAATATCATTTGTTGTTCATGCCAAAAAGAAGAGCTGCTTGAAGTAGTTGTCATTGCAAGCAGACTGGTTTATTCAGTAGCAACCACACAAACTCCATCTTGTACGGGCCTGACTTCAAAAGACATTCTGATTGGTTGCTATGTGTTGCCCCCCCCTTAAGAATTAGCGATCTTTATGGAATAGGGCCAAGAAACTTTTTAATGAAAGAACTATGAGGTGAGTGCTTTTCACTCACCTCATAGTTCTAACCGACCTGTGACAATGAGACTGTTACAGGTCGGCTCAGTAGATCAGGAGGTGAGCGAACACATACCGGCGTTCGCTCACCTATCGATCCTGTCGCAGCCCTTTGCCGTGACAGTGGAGGGGCTGGATTCCCCCCTCCCCGTTCTGATCCGCCAGCGCTGATCGGACGGGGGAGTGGGCGGGTACAGCTGGCTCTAGATAGGCAGAGCCAGCTGTCACTCACGCAGCTGGCCGGATCCAGACATAATTGTCGGGATCTGCTTCAGCTGCGGCGTCTCAGTATACCGCGACCAGCAGCTCGCGGTATACTGAGCTCAGGGTGACAGGAGGACGCTGGTTTGTGTCCTCCCGTTACCCTAAGGAGAACTATGGGGAAAAGCCTTAACCCCATAGTTCTCCTTTAAGTAGACAGTGTGCCTCCCTTTTATTTTTTGTGAAGCACTACAATTTTCTTCACTGTGCAAACAATTTGCATTAGAATAATATATATATTCTACTTAAAATGTTTTATTCCATTTTAACATTTTCCTTTAGCACCAACATTACCAGACTATGAAGGTATTGATGCCTCTCTTAATGAAACTGCCACAACCATCACTGTACTGTTAAGACCTGCACAGGCAAAAGGAGCTCCTATCAGGTATGTGTTGCACTTACTGAAGAAAACATGTTCTTGGTTAATTAGCAGTCAAAGATTCATCCCATTTGTGTAGTGCTGTGAGGTTGATACGTATTCTTGTTACGAACTGGAAAGACAATTGTACTTTTATAGTTGATAATGAGTATTTTAATGTACATTTAATTAGCCCTCAGGTGACCATAGAATACGTTTGAGGTCAGGCTTTTTAAAATGCTCAGACTTCTAAAAATAATTTTCCCATGGCGAGCACAAAGACATGCATCCTTCTGTAATAAAAGCATTATAATAATATAAGGGTTACTGTGTTGTGCAGCACTTACCCTAGGGGAGGAGTAAGCTACGGGTAATACTTTCCAACCTAGCCAGCCACTCCATTAGTGTGAAAGGCTTTCTTTTGTAATCCAAGGTATCCCATTAGTAGTGAAATGCAAGTTTTTTATCAGACAATAGAAATCTAATATCTTTGAGTGCTTTCAGGACTATCAAATCTTAATACTCATTAACAACATGATTAGGATTAGATTATGTAATTATACTTATGGATATTCAACATACTGTACAGTAAAAAGGTTTGTACACCGATCAGCCATAACATTATGATCACAGAGAGGTGAAGTGAATAACGTTGATTATTTTGTTACAATGGTAATAGTATTAGATAGCAAGTGAATATTTTGTCCCTGGAAGTCGATGTGTTGGAAGCAGAAAAAATGAGCAAACATAAGGATATGAGCGATTTGACGAGGACCAAATTGTGATGGCTAGACAACTGGTTCAAAGCAACTCCAAAACTGCAGCTCTTTTGAGATGTTCCTGGTTTGCAGGGGTCGGGACCCTACCAAAAGTAGCCCAAGAATGGAAAACTGGTGAACCAGGGGCATGTGGGGAGCGAAGGCTGGCCCATGTAGTCTGATCCAATAGAAGAGCTACTGTAGCTCCAATTGCTGAAAAAGTTAATGCTGGTTCTGATAGAATGGTGTCTGAACACACAGTGCATTGCAGTTTGTTGTGTATGGGCTGTGTAGCTGCAGACCGGTCAGGGTGCCCATGCTGACCCATGTCTACCACCAAAAGTGCCTACAATGGGCATGTGAGCATCAGAACTGGACCACGGATCAATGGAAGCAGGTGGCTTGGCCTGACTAATCACATTTTCTTTTACATCATATGGATGGTGTGCGTGTGTGTCTCTTACCTGGGGAAGAGATGGCACCGGGATGCAATATGGGAAGAAGGCAAGCTGGCGGAGGCAGTGCGATGCTTTGTGAAATGTTCTGCTGGGAAACCTTTGGTATTGACATTCATGTGGATGTTACTTTAGCACGTACCACCTACCTAAACATTGTTGCTGACCAAGTACACTGTTTCATGTAAACGGTATTCCTGATGGCAGTGGCCTCTTTCAGCAGGATAATGCACCCTGGCACACTACAAAAATGGTTCAAGAATGGCTTGAGGAGCACAACAGCGAGTTTGAGGTGTTGACTTGTCCTCCACATTTTACACATCTCAACCCATTTGAGCATCTGGGGCATGTGCTGCAAAAGCAAGTCTGATAGATGGAGGCCCCACCTTGCAGCTTACAGGACTTAAAGGATCTGCTACTGATGGCTTGGTGCCAAATACCACAGCATACCTTCAGAGCTCTAGAGGAGTCCTTGGCTTGATGAGTTAGGGCTGTTATGGCGGCAAAAGGGGGACCTACTCAATATTAGGTGGGTGGTCATAATGTTATGGCTGATTTTTGTATAAATAGCAATTGTGGTTATTGCAGTTGTATCTGTATACAGAAATTGTCCATATACAGAATATAATAATAGTCTGAATGCAGGCTAAGGCTCTAAAATAAATTTGACAGTAAAAGACAAAGCAGCAAGATGACAGTTTTAAAATGCCATTCATTTCCATTGCTAATAACTGTTCCCTTTTGTTTGCCCATGCAAATGCTTGTGTGTATGTTAAATAATTCTGTATAATAGACGTTTATAAAGGATTGCTCTATGGCAATCATCTGTGTGACCTTTTATTCCTCTTTTTTTATTTGTATTTTGTTATACCTGTTCCTGACAGGTATGTTGGCCGAATTCTCAGCTGGTGAAGGGCTCTCCTCCTTATTGCCAAGAGCCCCTTAGCTGAATGGAAGACTCATTAATGAAATCTGTAATTGTAGATATGACAAGGCTTCCTGGAACTTTACAAGTCTCTGCTGTCTCTGTCAATTATGGAATTTATTTTCCCCGCTGTGGTTTGAGTCCGCTGAGCTCCATTTATTATTAAATTTTGATGCTACTGACTGGAAGCTGTGTGCACATGTATTAGACTTGTGTTTCATATGTAGGCAGAGGGAGCTGCTTTGTTGTGTGGCTGAGCTTCTCTCCGTCACATTTCATTCAATTCTATGCTTTTAGGGCTGGGAATGTTTGCCATAGCAGCCTTAGAGGATATCAGCACAATTTTATATGACATTCAGCTCATCTCCCCAAACTCAACTAGATTACTTAGACAGCACCAGCAAAATTGCTGAAATGACTAGGTGCAAGTAGTGGCATTCATGCCGTCTTTATATTCATTTTGTTGTGTTTTCTCAACACTGCTTGTCTAAGGAAAGTGCATATTGTCAACGGTAATACTTGGTAATAAGTAGCACTCTGTGACTAATGACTTGCTGTGAGGGAATTGGCAGAAGCAAAGGTCAGGATGATCTAAACCAAATCAATGAGGGCGAGCACAGAGATATTCAATTAACGCATACAGAGAATTTTTTTTAAGGGGACATGTTAACAAAATATGAACATATTTTTTGTAGTTTGAGAATGGTTAATATTATTACAAGATAATGCTTGTTTCCTTATTTACACTTTTTGTTTTACATAGTTGTGCATACCTGTTAATTACCAGTTCACATTTGTTTACCTTTGTCCTGGCACTGGTACTTTATAACACAATTTGAGAGCATAATTATATGTTTTCAATTTGTTAAAAGCTCAGCACAGGAGAATCTCTGTGTTGTATTGGTCTATTTCCCTAGGTTTAAACACTGACATTTGCTTCTGTCATTTGTATGGTTAGCATTACTAATACAGTAAACTCTCATTTATCCGCTACTCAACTAACCAGATCTAACCAGAAAAAATCCACTGTGTATTCACGGATTTGCTGATCTGCGGCATGTATTATCCTGGAAATGATCGTGTGTCTATTTGTCTAACTGTGTGTATTTGTCTTACTTTGCTTTTGATTATTGCATTTCAATATTAAAATGAAGTCAGTGCGGAGTTTATCTTATGGTATAGTATGGGGTATGCTATTAGTTAGACCTATTTTTTTAGTAACTCTCAAGCAACCAGAAACTACATTTATCCAGGATCTACCAATCCCCGCGGATGCCGGGTAAATGGGAGTTTTCACTCTTTTAATCCAAATCAGTATATTTTATGTTCACCGTGATCCTAGAAATTGCCATTTGCTCTTAAACATTTCTTGGCTTCTCCAGCCATAATTTACATACATATTTGCCTTATTGGTGTGTAACAGGCAGATTCCACTTGCTTATGCCGACTTAAGCTTTCCGTGCAAGTTCTGAGGACAGGTCTAACCATAGTGAATTATCATGTCTGCCCAATTCCTACAGTGAGCTGAAGATTAAAAATGGGCAGAATGGCTGTTACACTATATGGCCAGACCAATTCCCAGTCCACTGTATGCATAGTATTGTACATATAGGTGGAAATCGCGGAGAGATGAACACTGCGCCTGCGCCCACAGAATAGTCAGGGAGTTAAATCTTACATTTACAGTGTGGCTACAGAAGCTGGCAGTGGGGAGAGGGTTGTAATCATATTCTTTAAAAAGAAACTGAATTCTTGAAGCCGTTTCTAAAAAAGACAGGCAGAGGGCAAATGACTAGTCACTAGTATTGTCTGTGGTCTCCCTGCAGCTGATCTTTTTGTCATTACTGACATACTATGACTTCTGCACAGTGTCTGTGTGGAGTCAGCCATCATGATAGAGGCAGGGCTTTCCTTTCTCGTGTCAGGACCTTGAACAAGGAGCAGCACAGTAGTACCATCAAATCTTACACATGTAAGACTAGCAGCCTAGGCACCCTCACCAGGAAATGCACAACTTCTTTTTTTCCCCCATAACATTCAAACAAATGATACATTTTTCAGGGTACTGCTTATGCACAATTAAGTTTTAAGTTCAGGTCCACTTTTTAAAGAAGATCTCCAGGAAAATGTATCAACCCCTGCACTGCAAGGGTTAAGTGCTCGTTTGTGTTTAGGCACAAAAATAACAGACATACTCACCCAAAGCAAAATGTTTTATTTTTTTAACCTAGACACCAATGAGCACTTAACCCTTGCAGTGCAGGGGTAGCCCCACTGCAAGGGATATTAAAAACAATGTTCTGGTGTTCTTCTTTAGGTTTGGAGCACACATGTCCTTTAATGCAGCTGGTCACATGACAATTTTGCAGTCAAATTGAGCTTACACAACAATGCTTCAGTATTGTAGTAGGTATGCAATGAATGTTCATGTTCATGAATGTTCATCTTTTGTTAGTTTGCAGAAACTGTAAGACAATGCAGGTTATATACCATCTGCTTTTAACATTTCAAGGATCCTGTTTTCAGCAACTGTAAAGATGCAAGGCAGTCTATTTTGGAACAATGGACAGATTTCTGTCCATCTGTGCCTGTATTACAGTATGTCAGTTATAGTTTAGTTCTCTATAGCTGTAAGCCAACATAGCGAAGAAGCTGCAGCAAGGTCAGGAGGTGGAGATGCCTGTCAGCTCTTTCTGTCTCTAATGCAATGACAACTGCAAATTGGTGCCTTAAGCAGAGCCCATAGCCAGTCATTATGTTCGGGCCCTGAGTCTGAGCCTTCGATAATATAATTTCAAAGGGAAATGGTTTAAAAACATCAATCCAAGAACCTAATCTGCTCAGAGTTCTTTGGTGGATATAGAACCCCTTGAATATCAATCAATTTGCAAATTGATTCTTTTTTGGTCATATAAATGTGCCTGGTAACTTTATCAAATAGAATACCTATTATCCATAATGTCAATACAGACTTTTGATTTAGTTCACGTGTCATACTAATTAGCCCTGATGAATTACATCCCCATCTGAATCATCAAGATAATATGTCCATAGATTTGCATATCGTATTCCCATGTGTGGGTTACATCCAAGGGCTAATATTTTCTCCCAGAACCAAAAACATTCTTTACTTGTGCCTAAACTAGCCCTAGAACATGTGATGAATATGCTACAAATAGAATCTCCTTCTATATAGATACTTTATAGGTAAGATGTATATGTTGATATAACATGTTTACAATGCATGTGAATATGATTTTTTTTTTTGTATTTAAAGTACTTTATTTTACAAAAAACTGCTGGTGTTACTGTTTCTAGTTTGTGATGTTAAAACAATAAGGTGACTGCTAGTTCTTTATTTTTCGATAGTGCTTACCAGGTTGTGGTGGAAGAGCTGAACCCTCATCGGACAAAGAGAGAAACTGGAGGAATGGAGTGTTATCAGGTTCCCGTGGCCTACAACATTGCTGGAAATGGGGGCTCCCCATACTACTTTGCTGCAGAGCTTCCACCTTCCAACCTTCCTGAAGCTGCACCTTTTACTGTTGGTGACAATAGGACTTACCAGGGATTTTGGAACCCACCTCTAGCTCCCCGTAAGGGTTATAATATCTACTTCCAAGCTGTGAGCAGTGTGGAGAAGGTAAGACTCTACATTATCCCATTTTGTTTTGTTATATTATTGCTTTAGTTATTGCTCTTAGATAGGTGTCACTCAGAATTGAAGGAAACAAAACTCACCATGTTTAAAAGGATAACCATTAAACTGGCCTTGTACAAATTGCTGGAGCTTAATCAGTCTTTCTACCAAGATCCAGTTAGTTTTTGGAAAAAGGGTAGTAACTTGGACAAAACACACGCATATTTTTAAATACAACCCAATATCAAGGGTGCAGAAAGAGTGCAGGTCCAGAGGTACTAGTAATGGGCTGTTTGTGATGTGTCAGCTGTCTGTGTGAAACATGCTACAACTTTTGCAGGCTCTGTCCTTTGCTCTTCTGCACTTTAAATTACTGAAGAGTAGTTCTGTTAGGCCCCATTCACACCAGAGCGACAGCGGTTTTGTGAATTTTTTTAATGCGCATTTTACACGCGGTTTCCGTTCCTATGTGAGCGTGTTTTTTTTCAGCTTGTTTCAATTGTCCAATTAGAAGCACTAATATGCGCTGATCAGTGTGCTTCCTTTGAAATTTATGGAGCAAAACGAGCTGATCGGTGCCACAAAAGAAGCTCAGGGAGTATTTCAAGCAACAGGCGTATTTGGACGCACAATTAATCTCGTTTGTGTGAATGGACACCATAGGAATACATGGGATTTTCATATGTATGCGTTTCAGCGCGTAAAAAAACACAATGAAATGCCCTGGTGTGAACGGGGTCTTTGAGAGTACACAAACACACATACCCTGTCACACACGTCCTGCATCATACAGCTGAAAGACACTGCAGTCACTTTTAAATGGTCTAAAAAATGTTTCAAAACACAAGACTGCACACATATAGATATGAACACATACACTTAAATTTTTGTTAGCTTTCCTCTTCATGTCCTCATGGTAATGGCCGTCGCTGTGCAAGCAATGTGTGTCTATCTTTCTGTGAGCTCTCCACCCCTCAGCACCCCCCACCCCCCAAACAGTGTATTGTGTGTAAAGCCAGAGCTAGTGTTTACTGATTGTTACAATGGGTGACAGGGAGGGGGGGGGCAGCTGTTTACAGTCCGACACTATGATGTCAGACTATATTTCCTGTGGAGAAAATGTAGAATTCTTAGGCCTAATAAAAAATTAAGAAAGCCTGCAATATAAGTCATGAAAATGTACACATGTATACATCATCACTGCACCTTTTCATTACCGAAATAAATGCTAATCATTTAAAAAGTGGAAAATGGACTTTAAGAAGGTAACCGTTTGCAGTGGTCACTAGAGGGTACTGTTCAGACACGAGCAAGGTTATTCACTGGAATGAGAGAGCAGCTTGTCTTCTAAGAGTGATCTGAAAAGGTTTCCTTCAGCAAAGAAAGATGGAAAAGGGACCCTGGGAGGTTAAAGGTCATGACATATCAAACTGACACAGGCAAAAAAAAGGTTAACAGCTTTGGGACAAGGGCACTTAGTGGGTGTGCACTATAAGCACCTTCAAAGATCTTGTGCATAGTAAGTACAGCAGTGAAATGTTAAAATACAATTCGAACCCCTGCCCTCACAATTCACCATTCTAAAACTGGCCATACACTTATAGATTTTCTGCAGATTTTTTATGGTCAGATGGAAAAAGTGCAACAGATTCCTCCATCTACACTAAACTATGTGGATGGCGGAATCTCCCACTGGGCCAAGCCTCAGCATCTTGCTAGTCGGCCCCGCTGGCTGTCAAAATACCTGAACAATCTGATTGGATGCAGGCACTGTTCAGGTGTTTTGAGAGCCAGCAGGGCTGACTGGCAGGATACTGAAACTTGGCCCAGTGGGAGATTCCTTTGTACACACAGTTTAGTGTAGATGGAGGAATCTGTTGCACTTTTTCCATCTGACCATAGAAAATCTATAGGTGAATGGCCAGCTTAAAGGTTTCACGTTGGGCACATCTTCCTTCGATGCCCAACCTGTACAGAAATCTAATCTCTAAAGTACTGGAGTAATATAAACAACCTGCACCAACACTCCCTTTTAATATCGGTTTTGCATGGATTTGGATAGGTTGGAAAGCTTTTGGTTGTCCATTCACTGCTTGATAGCAGCAAGTGGTATGACAGATTGCTTTATGTTTTGTATTGGCTAGGCTCTGAAGCAGTTTCTTTCCATGCTTTGCCAGTAATTGTTATACACACACACACACACACACACACACACACTTCTGTATGTTGGATGGAAGAAGATTGTGGCAGATACCAGTGACAATAGCAAGGTTTTTTCCTTTCCTGTTATTTTTTTTGTGAGAAAATTGCAATCCCTGTTTAGCCTTAGAAGATGGACCAATTTATTCAATGATACATACCATAGTGGTTTCTACATGTTAAAATAGTGCTCATTTTCTTTACTTGTATTGCTGCTTTTTTATTGTCATGCTTGATGAAGATGGATGGGATCAGAAGCCTAAAAGTAGTGCAAATCTGCTTGAGGCCACGGCTGGTGCTTGTGAATGATTCCCTTGTTTTTAAAATGAATAAGAGGAAAGCACAGCAGGAAGAGCAATAACACAAGATACTTTAAAATCCAATTTGAGAATCTTCCTCTACATAAGTAGGATTCTACTCGAGATCGCAGCATCCTTGTTATAGAGTTACCATGCTGGGGATTAGGTGAAATTGCTAGGATATGCAGCAAGATTGATAGATCGGGGATCTGTACCTGAACATGTATAAATAAAAGGAAATTGAAAGCTTTTTTTTTTCTACGGTTGATGTTTGTGGTTTTGATAGTATGATATCTGTGAAATTATTACTTTGCAGCAATATTGTACTGCCCTTGTGGTAATAGAGGTCAAGTTGCTGATGTGAATGATTATGCTTGCTGTATGTCAAATAGTTGTGCTCGAAGGCATTATTTCTTTGGTTTGAGGCTGTGCATTTCCAGTTTACGGGATAAACGGATGCTTTTTATTTATTCATTAAGAACAATCTGTGATGTGATGTTTTTGTGCAGCATGTGTAGTAATAAAAGACTAGTGTGTAAAATAGTACCCTGATAAGACAGCACAGCTTTCTTATTATGGACCCAGGTTCAGTTACCCTATTCCTCCATATCTGGTTATTATTTATTTGGGCATTCTGTCTGACCTGCGTGACTCTGTGATTTGCTTTGCAAATTTGTCTAATTAAAAGCAGACCACATTAAACAGAAAATTGCATATTTGTGTATAGAAAATAAAACTGTACTATAACTCTGAAAGATGCTTTATTTAATCTGAGCAGTATTGCAACTGCTGCTTTATAAAGTATTAATATAACTGTTCTCTTTCTACTGTCTGCTTAAAAGCACAGTCAAAAACTGATGTAATTCACTACATCTCTAAAATGCAGCGACATGCGGTCAGGGGAGGCAGGTGAGGCAGAGCCTCACCTAGAATTATGGAGGAAAAAGCTGTCAGCTTCATGTCTGAAGCTGACAGCTTTTTCTCCATGCAGATCGGCATCTAACAGGTTACACAGCAGGGAGATCCTCCCCGCTCTGTAACCTGTCATGGACGGTGCCCTCAGTAGTGAGGAGCAAGTGAGGGACAGGGAGTCTCCTCCCTGTCTCCTCCCTTCCTTCACCCTAGCTTGGGGACAAGTTGGGTGCGGGGCTTCGCCCAGCGCTCTGGGGGCCAGGCTGGGGAATGCCTCACCCGGAACAAGAGGTACCGCACGTCACTGCTAACATGTTAAGTGCTACAGAATCAAGTATACCTATAGAACAGAATATTTGTACCTATAAAGACTTAATGGCACCTTAATTAGCAATGTAGCTCAGAAATTGGAGTAGGATTCTCCCTGTAGCAATTAATCACAGATCAGACTTCAGTTAAATAAATCTGGTTGCTGTGGGTTATGTAGTATTTAATCTGTTAAAGTGTATGTCAGGGCAAAATTTAAACATATTTAGAACATTTCTCCAATACATGCACAATTTGTGGTTTATCACTTTTAGAAACACTGCCAGAAATCCAGTGAACCCCTGACTTCCTGTTTGGACTGATAACACAGTGCCTATATTACAGTGAAATGCCTAACAGCTTTACCTGCCATGCCTGTTCAAATGCAGAATTTCACCTAATCCCTACCTCTGTCTGCCCTATTTCACATGCACACATGAATTTCTTTCCCAGCAAAACAATATTTCTGCCTTAACTGCTGTAAGTCATGAGGGGCCCACATCCTTGGATGATGTAGTTCTGGGGACATGCCTACATCAATGGGAGCTGAGCTCCCCTGCAAGGATTTTACAAGCCTGGCGATGATGTGACAGGAAGTAATAGTAAGAGTTGTTTCTCGCTACAGCAGATGGAGGTTTGGGGAATTTGTAGGTAATGCCAGATGTATACTTTCATTCATTATTAAAACGTATTTATTTGTTTTAATAATGTTTTGCGGATAAAACTTTTTGTAAGATTGTATAGCTTCCTGTAGAATGTACTCTATATAGGGAACAAGTCAAATGTTATGTGCTCCCTGCTCACATCAAATACTTGAGCAGTTGGCTTAATTCTGCCCTGCAGCAGTCTTTGTATAATGACCAGATAGCTGATATTCAAGGGCTCTTAGGTTCAACATAGGAATGAAGGATATTTAAAGCTGAACTCCAGGCACAACGCTAAATACAAGTTGAAATGTGTGTACAGGGTCTGTTCTAGCTTCTAAAGGATTTGTATTTGTTTGTTCATTCATTCATTCGTGAGATTTCCTTAGCCCTGCCAGATGGTACAGCCACTCTGGTGACCTGTGTTTTTTGGGGGGGGTTTTTGTGCACCAATTGCGCAGTAGATCTAGATTATCTCTATACCCCTCAGCTTGCGATTGGACAGCGAAGGAGCAGCTGTGTACCCAGCTTTCTCCTCCTGACACATGTTCATTGTCATTTCATGTTCATGCAGCACACCTGATTGGCTGCTAGTGCTGCCCTTCCTTCTCCCAATCTAAAGGCGCCCATACACTGTACAACCCTCGCAAGACTTTTGTTTTGCGATGGTTGTAAAGTAATTTAAAAAATGTACGATCTGCCCATCATGGACAGGCAGATAGTACTTGCGATCATCGCAATCCTGCCCCGCTGAGGGACTGGCTTCCGATGACTGCAATGCTGAACGGGCAGTGTGCGTGTGCGCACACCGGCCCATTCGGCAGTTGTCGAACAAGCACACCACTAACCCACCGAGAATCGTATGATTCTCGGCGGGGTTTCCAGCCTGCTTGTTTGACGGAAGACGTGCGATTGTACAGTAGAAACGGTCGCACGCCTTCCATACACTTTGCGATCATCGTACGATTGCGGGATTTCCCGAGATTATCGTACGATAATCGTACAATGTATGGGCACCTTAAGGGTTGGTGTATAAGGGATTACAGAAGGCTAATTTCAAGTTATATTCAGGTACTTGCACTACACTTAAAAATACTTTTCATTGTTTATACTGAATATATAGCTTCTTAATTGGTGTTTGGTAATAGCTGCCCTAATTTAAGTGCTCTGTAGTAGGTGTCTTGTGGGTTATTTCACCTGTGGCCTCCTTTTTGTAGACATCAGTGACAGAATCTCCTTGCCAAAGTTGCTGGCTCTGTTCTTCGTGTTGGGTTTTCCCACTTTTTAAAGTTGAATTCTCCATTATATAAAATGAAAGCCCAGCGGAGCGAGTGGGACCCCTCTGTTACGCTCTGTGCAGGCCTTGAAACACAAGAACAGAGATCTTTCTGCCAAAGTCTGAGAATATAGGAAACCATTCAACGTATTAACTCGCCAATATCTACATCTACCAATAACTGAAATATCAGTTTTGTATAGACTGTCATTAAAGTTTAATAAAAGAAGAGCTCTTTTGATACAAATATGCAATCTGATTTATTTACATAAGTTTTTAGGTGAAATAATTCACCATCTAAATGTATTTTTATTGGGGGCAAAGACTGACCATTTATTTTTAACACAAAATCTGACTGCATATTTTTTTCTTTCCATTAGGAAACTAAAACACAGTGTGTGCGCATTGCAACTAAAGGTAAGAGTGCCTTTTCTCCTTGTCAGAGATGTATAGAATATTCTGCTTAGTGGTTCCCGAGGTCTGTTTGTATTTTGCCTTTGTGTCAAGCCTTATAAAGTGCTTTCACCTGCCACATGCCTGATTTCAGGGCACACAGCTTTTATTGTGGGAAGGAGGCTGAGCCGGGGTGAAATGATAAATGTATCTCTTAAAAGTGTGCTCTGCAGGGCCATGTTCTGGAGAACAGCTGGAGAATTGGTAAAAAAGCTTGGCAACATTAGTCAGAATTAAAACATCTTGCTTGTTTAGTAGTGCATGAGTGGTTGTAAGAAAAATGTTTCATACCTCATTTTTTTTGGCTTCCCATTGAGAGTCAACCTGGGAAAATATAAATTAAAAGTTCTGCAGCACATTTGTAATAGTAATAAATGGGACCTACTCTAGAAAATGGGACCTACTCTAGAAAATGTAAGTTGACTGGATGCTCTCCCTATTAGCTTTAATACTTTGAGTCAATGTGACCTTGTTTTTGGGTAAGTCCTTAGTTCTTTTGAAACTAGAATGTAAGGATGAGGTCTGCAGTGGTTTCTCTCATGTTAGGCTTACTTTAACAGCTCCATATTAACGCTTGCTTCATTTTGTCACACCGTGATTGTGTAATATAGAACATCTCCTTGGCTGTACTAGCCATTGGGGGAGGTGCTGTTTAACCGAGGCTTTGGGTAAACAAAGTACATTTGACAAAAAACTATTTTTTGGGTGACTTTTGAATATGTCTTGACACTTACACACTTTGCTTAAACTGATGTGAACAAAGTTGCTGATGTTGCTGTGAAAACTTTCATTAATACATAATTTCAGCAAGACAGATTGAAGGACAAATAAAGGTGGAACAGTTGCTTTGTGTTTTATAAAGAACTAAACTTGCTGAACAATTTGCAAACTATGTGATGTTCTATTTAGAGATTCTTTAAATGTAATTTTTTTTTTCTTTTTTAACTTGCATTTAATCCATTTACAGTGTTAAAAATAGCTTTTTAACTAGATTTTGTATGTGAATTTTGAGGTAACGACATGGGTGCCTGTAGCCTTTACTTTTATTTCTCCTATGGTTTTTGCTCAGTTGAAAACCAAACATTATAGGCCAGAACTGAGCCTGCTGCCTTATTTTCAGAAGTAAAAACAACATAAGTTTAAATTGGTGCGCAAAAATGCTATACAGTTGTGTAATGCTTCACAAAGAGCTTTTGCAACCATCTAATTAAAATGGAGTACACACTGATGTATTTTTATTTAAGCTGCGGTTTAGGCCATCATAACAAGAGGATTCATGTGATGCTTTTTTCTTGTATATTGCCCAGTCTTCTGAATAGGCTGGACCTATACATGTTAACTCTTCACTGCTAGAGAAGTCTCATCCAGATTTTACTTACTGTATAGCCTGGTCCAAAGGTACATAGAGACCCTGTTGCATCTGTAAGAAAGAGGAGACAAAACTACCCTATAAAAGAATGTTGCATAACTTTATGACGATTAGTGATCAAAATTTGTACCCACTTTAGAGCTCCCGGGGAAGCATCTATTTGACAATTCTGGGTGTTTTGGATTGTCCTCCCACTGGCCACTGTGGTTCCCCCTGATCCCTACATCACTAGGACCTTTCGGAATGGTATCATACATATTCTTTCAAAGGGTGGCTTTGTGTTCTCATTGTTGCAGAGGTGACGGATTTCAGTTGTTACAAGAAAAGGTTTGTGTGGCCATTATGTGAACAATCAATTATGAATGTTTATTTGAGAATGGTGGGTGGGGTGATTTGTTAGGTTTTAGGTTTAAGTTTATTGTGGTCTGATATCTGCCACTACCATTATCATCTAGATATTTACTGTATTAATCGCATTGTATTTTGCTGTATATATAAACTACATGCAGCACTCCATATAGTTTGTATGGTGAGGTTTTTTTTATGGTGCTTTTATGGTTGCACATTTGTGTTAGCAGCTCTAAATTATAGAAATGTTTGTGGTTATCACGTTATTATTTTTTCACAAGAGTAGCACAGGGATTTTATACTTTTTTTTTCTGTTGTTTGGCTGTATAGTGTACAATATGACCATATGGCTGGCGAATAAGACACTGTACTCATGTCAAGGCTGACCGACAGTGGCTGTACACTATCCCTATCACTCCCAGAAGAGAAAATGCAGTTGCACGCTATATAGTGGGGTATCTTGGGTGTAGCAGGCACAGCACGTGGAATGGCACCACTTGAGGTGGAGAGCCACATTACTCTGGGACAGTGGCAGTGTTTTCCTCTTTAGTTAAGCTGTGCCACATTCAGACCTCCCATCAGCGCAGACCCACAGTGACAGTGCAGCGGATCGCTGCTGTCACATGTAAACAAAGAACCAGGGCAGGGAAAGTTACACTACTCATGTCCTTTGACTGATGAATTATCTAACACAGAGCCTGGCAGAGGAATTTAATATTGTAGGCATTAATATGTCCTGGCTGCTTGTTTACAAGTGACAGCAGTGATTGGATGAGGTATCTATCACTGCAATTGCTTCGGGTCCTTGTTGACGGGAGTTCTGAATGGGGCACAACTTAACTAAAAAGGCAAACATCCTCATGTCTAGGATGGGGGGAACAATTGGCTTTGGTGTCACTGCAATCTATGGAAGTCCATGCTGAAAGGAGTCTGAATGGAGCAAAATATAAAGAGGTAAATAACTCTCCTCAGCCTTGGCTCTGACCTGGGGATTGATTGGCTAAGTTATCACTGCAATCTGTTGCATGTCCTTGCTGTCTAAATGGAGCTGGGATTATTCTATTAAGGTCCAAAAATATCTTTTAGTACACTCCAAATGCCATGCTGTACAGGCCTCACAGCCCTAGTCTGTATGTATGCATGTGTGTGGGTGTACCTGAACTGGGGTGTCAGATATTTGGAAAAGCGTGCAACTTCAGTGTTTGTTCTATTTGCCATAGATATGTCCCTGACTCTATAGGGCCATTTACTGCCTTGTGCATGAGTCCTTAGTGAGTCTAATATTTTAAATACCCATATATTGTGGTGAAAGGCTTTTGTGTAAGTTTACATTTATTCATATGGCCTGTGACCTAGTGGTGGAAATTTCTGAGGATTACACATGGGCAGTTTTCATTTCAGTCATCTGCTGAGATCAGCTAGGAAACCCAGAAGCATGGGACAGAATTCCGAGTATGTATGCCCTGATTAGCTATAAAAAAAACACGGCTTTACTGCCCTCCCACTGTGATGCAGCCTGGCTTCCTGACCATCCGGAAGCTGGGTGGTGGGTAAAGAGGTGGCGCCCAACTTCCTGATTGGTCAAGAAGCCAGGCTGCCTGGCAACAAGTTAAGCCAGCTTCCTAGCCAATCAGGGAGCCAGGAGGTGGGTCATTACGTGCCGCCCAGCTTCCTGATTGGCTAGGAAGCTGGCTTCACTTATTGCTAGGCAGCCTGGCTTCCTGAACTGCCGCCTGGCTTCCTGATTGGCCAGGAAGTCAGCTTCATGCTCCCTCACGGTACTGCAATTCAGAGGGAGATCTCCCTCTGACCGGAAGTTTCGGTCTCTGGGAAAGGTATCGGAGCATTTGGGCAAATACGAGTACTCGCCCAAATACTCGGTATCGGCACCGATACTAGTATCGGTTTATCCATAATGCTAGCAATTAATTTCCTTGTGTGGTCATCTTAATAGTTGCCATTGATTGACATGGATGGACAATAAATGGTAAACGTTAGGCAGATTGTCAGAAAAAGGGACACATGAGACAAAAAATAAAAGACACTTATCTGAAGAAAATTTCTCCCCAGCTTACCTCTGCTGAACATAAGACAAATGGATAAAGCTGTTAATTTTGATATTTTTGTATTTTCCACAACAAAAAATGGCTAAAGTAATTCTCCACCTTTCAAAATTAACTCCGAAATTGCCTTGCAGCCTGAAATGAAGACACACAGTTTTTGTTTTATCCAGCTGTACTTGCTCAGTGCAACTTATAACATTCAAGTGGAAGATAGAACACCAACATGTCAGAAGGAAAACAAAACAAAAATCCAAAAACAGAATCACTGAGTTGAAAAAAGGCTCGTCGCTCCTAAAATTGACTTTTAAACTCAATCAAGTGTAGCTAATCATCTCAATGGCACACAAAGCCATTTGGCTTTCAACTTTGATCGGCTGTGATAGCTCAGCATGAAAACAACTTTCCTGGAGCATTTAAGTCCCTGGTAGTGCAACTGAAGCAAACAATCAACTATGGGTGGCAAGGCACTGTCAAAAGATCTCCTGGATAAAGTTGTGGGCAGGCACAAGTCAGGAGATGGATACAAAAACATTTCAAAGGCTTATATTTAAGAAGTGGAAGGTATTTGGTACAACACAGACCCTCCCTGGATCAGGATGTCACTCCAAACTGGATGAAAGAGCCAGGAGGAAACTGGTCAGAGAGGGTACCAAGAGGCCTACAGCAAATCTGAAGCAGTTACAGGAATTTGACAGAGTGGTCATTGTGTTCATGCGACAACAATATCACAAATTCTCCAAACGTGGCTTGTATGGGAGGGGTGCAAGAAAAAGCCACTCAAGAAAGGCCACATGCAGTCACGACTGAGCTTTGCCAAAAAGCACCTTGAAGATTCTGAGGCCACACGGAAAAAGGTGTTATGGTGAGATGAGACCAAAATTGTTTGGCCTCATTCCAAACAATATGTCCGGATAGAAGGAAAAAAGGATGGGCAAAATACTGTTACATTCTTAAGGAAAATCTGCTGCCGTCTGCCAGAAAGTTGTCAATGGGAAGAAGGTTTACCTTCCAACATGACAATGACCCAAAGCACACAGCAAAAAATTACTACCCAGTAGTTGAAGGAGAAAAAGGTGAACATCCTTGCATGGTCTAGTCAGAGGACAGAATTAAACCCCATTGAAAATCTCTGGAATGACCTATAACCCTTGCAATGCGGGAGTAGCCCCACTGCACAGGTTACT